AAACTGATAGGCAAATTTCAACAGATTCATGGCTTTGAGGGTGTTAGTGTGGAGGTTGGTGGCTGCTTGGTACACTAAAAAATGTACGTTCCAGAACAAGAATTCTGTCTTCTCTTACTGTCTCATGGTTGGTCTCGCTTATATTTTGAGTTTCAAACTCTCATTTATTGCAACACTTAAAAATAATATTTCATAGTTTTTCTGTCGTACTAATAAACAGCAAAACATTACCAACTCAAATTAAGTTTCTAGTCATCATGGGAAAGTGGAGTTTAACTGCCACTATTTTTACTTGTATTGTGATAGCGCCTCTCTCCAAATGAGATTAAGGCCTAACTGCACTAAACTGCTAGCAAGGCCTTCCCTCCTTCCTCGCTTCCTCCAAGGAGACAGTACAGGAATCGCAGAAATTACTTCTAGATTAAATGCAATGTGACTCTTGTACTGGTAAGTGCAAGGTGGTGTTCATACTGCTCCCTGGGAAGTGAGAGTGTACAGTGCAAGGCCTGTTTAATTGGACTTTGCTCAGCTTGACAAGTGAATTGGCAACATCACAGTACTCCCAATTAAGCTGTTTTTTCCTGTAAAATTAATGGAATAAATCTACTTCTGAGAAGGCTGGGACTTACTGTGACATTACGGGAAGAGGAGGCGAGGGAAAAAAAAGGTTGCCAGAAGCTGCAAGTTGAATACGTGAGGGTGGAGAAGTCAAACTGTATGAGCATATTTTGATAAATATTAATGAATTAATTTGTATTTGGTTTACTTAGATGATCTATAAAAGCTTTAAATGGTCCAGCAACTTAGTATTTTTGCCATTGTAAAATTTCCCTAATGTTGCTTTCATGAGGCCTTTTCAGGATCAGTAGAGTACTGGTGGCCATGTCTTATGCTCGAATAGCATTATTTCTGACGTGACTGTAATAGTTGGCCTTTGGCATCCTGCCTAACCATTCATCCAGGGGCATGGCATCAAGCCAGCATGACAGACACACCCAGTTATGTCTAACTGCTTAAAATAATTGACTCATTTTACCTAAAATGATCAAACAGTTTGTGCGAAATTAAACAGCTCTGGTACATCTTAATAGATTACTAGCTAATTCTAAATTATTAAAAAGACAAAACAGATTCATTAAAAGGCCTTTTCTCATTGTCACATTTTAGTTACATACTATTATTGTGGGAAAGCTCTAATAATGACACTGTAACACTCTCAGTTTCTCTTTCTTTAACAACCCAGATGCTTGGTGCTGACACATTCCTAGGATTTTTCTGTGTTAGATAGCTACAGCGTGACGGCTATTTTTAAGAGAGAGAGGAGTCTGAAACAAAAACTTATATCCAGAATGTATAACATCCCGCTCTAGATGTGAATCTTTTTGCCTGGGGCCTCTGCTTTTTCAAGAGAGTTGCTCATGTAATTTAATTTCTTGTTATATACTGTTGCATTCTATATATAGATATGTATTTAGCATGTGATGCTGGTATTCAGATCCCCTTGCTTCAGACTTCCATCGAGATAAAAATTTTATGTTTTGAAATAGAGTACTTCTAATTCTAATATCACTTATTAAAACAATTCCACTATTGACAAGTAAATAGATATTCATGATACATTCATTGATGTTTTTGCATAACATCATAATTTACTGTAAGCCACTCTAAATCATGTTGTGAAATATAGGCTGTATTTAGGAACTGTTTTTTAAAAATTGGTCATGTCAAACTCATAGTGAAGCCAATATTAATTTTAGCATAGCATCCTGTGCCTTGTTGCTGAACTCCCAAAACTATTCTCTCCTTAGGGAGAAATGTGTTGGTTTTTTTTTTTTTCCTTCATGTCAGAAGTGACCAAAATCACTAATTTCTGTAGCTTTTTTAGCCCCAGCACAATACACTAATTCACCACATAATACACCCTTATAGCAGTCTTCAGTACTTAAAAGGACCTGCAGATGAGAAGGGGAGCGTAGTGATAGGACACGAGATTTCAGACTGAAAGAGGTTAGATTTGAACTAGACAGTCGGAAGAAATTCTCTGCTGTGCGGGTGGCGAGGCACTGGAACAGGTTGCCCAGAGGAATTATGGATGTCTTGTCCCTGGAAGCGTTCAAGGCCAGGTTGGACGAGGCTTTGAGCAACCTGGTCTGGTGGGAGGTGTCCCTGCCCATGGCAGCAGGCTTGGACCTGTGTTCCCTTCCAACCCAAACCATTCTGTGCTTTACAGTGCAGTAGAGAATACAGTTGAAACGTGTGTATGACTATAGTATAAAATTAAACATTAAATGTGTGTTCCTAAGGAACAGTAACTTTTCTGTTTTCTGTCTGCATTTATTGTAATTATCATTTGGTGTTTGTAAAGAGAAACAAAAGCTTTGCAATCTACCCATAAGGGAAGCCACTTGTTTTCGTGGTATTAGTCTTCTTACCATATTGTCACTGAGCATTATTCTCTAGCTTTGCCAAAGTATAAGGAGCGTTAGTGCTAGTAATTTGGGGATTCTGCATGTAGCTAAGGATCCTGCTCTAAAGACAAAAGTGGATGTGCCGTCCCTTTCTGCAGGAGTGCAAGTACAAAGGTGCCTGAACCAGACGTTTCTTCTCTCATCTCTTTCATTGTCCTGTCGACTCATGTTTTTCTTAGTTCCCAGTGTTTGCTCATCATCATGCAGGTTTTAAGAGAACTTCTTTGTGTTAGTTAGGTGTAGTCATACCTCAATAGAAACTGATGCATAAGGAATATATTTTAATAACACAGAACTAAATTCTTAAAAACATTCTTGTTCCTTGGTAGGAAGCGTAAATAAATAAATATCGTAAGTATCTTTGTTTCGTAGTACTATACAATCTTGCCAATAGTTTCCAAATGAGAAGTAGCTTACCTGTCTTTTTTTTTTTGTTTTGCAGAGGAATGATGAAGAGGCTGTTGTGGATAGAGGTGGAACTCGCTCCATTCTCAAAACACATTTTGAAAAGGAAGATCTAGAAGGTGAGAGATTATTCTTCTGTGCCTTATATTGTCTCTTTCTTCTGAAAGTACTGAAATGCAATTCCAATGTGTAAACTTACAGATTTGAGCAGGGATGCAAAGAGAGTGAACAGGGGAACAGAACCTCATAGCTTATTTTTAAAAAAGAAATATTATTCTTTTCTTGAAGCAGTGCTCAGGTTCAGACTATGGCAGAAGGAATTTGCTAGTTTTCAATGATCTATAATCAAGTCCTGTAACATGCATGTATGACTTTGGATAAGTCTTTCTATCTTTAAGTTTCCAAATATGTAAATGCAAGCAGGGCTGATGATTTAGTACTTATGATGGCTTCTACACTTGCTTTCCAATCCTCGTGTAGTTGCCTAACTGCATCTTCAGCTAACAAAAACATTCTGCAGAGTGATAGATTGGACAGGTACTTGACAAGATACACTGCAGAAACCACCAAACATCAGCATGTAGAAGAGAAGGAGAAGTTGTGAGAACTGTCTTATGGCGTTGGCCTAATAATTCAGAGTTGCCTTTCAGTTTGTTTAGTGGATCCCAAACTGGTGGCTGCAGGGGTAAGTGGCTGCTGGTGGTTCAAGCTAGCAATTGCAATTTTGGACTTAAGCAAACAACTCCCTTTTTTGAATTTCGCACTTGTTCTTCTGTAGTCTTCAGTTCCTTGATCCTTGGACAAAGTGAAACTGTTCTATCTGGTGTCCTTAGAGAAACACCAGATTGAATAGTAGGGGCTTCCTTCCCTTCTCCAGAATATTGACTCACAGAGTTTTTTGTGGGGTAAGCCCCCCTCAAAACCTGTCCTTTTGCTGTCTTTTTACTGATGATGGTAAGGTGGCATTTAAAAAAAAAGAAAACTTTCTGGAGAATGACATCTTTAAGCTCGGTCACATGGGTAGACTGAAGTGTTAAAGACAATCAGGTTCCACATGTGGTGACATGGAACCTAAAGCCTCATCTCAAAATGTGAACAACTAATTTAAAAACTGTATTTAATTATTTTTTCCCCCACAGTCCTGTATGTGCAGAGTTGTTCCCGTGAAATATCAGTGAAAATAGTCTTTCAAAAATCTGCGCCTAAGATGTTATCAATAGAAATTGGAACATGACAGTGACACCCCCCTCATTCTTTGCAACAATTTAAATTGTTCAGAACACTGAAAAATTTGGTAGTTAGCCAATGAGTCTGCTTTTCTTTAAAATAAAATCACACTGCTTCATAATGTTCTTACAAAATGGTTATTCGATGCAGAATCCTTCATAATGCAGTTAGCTTTCTCAGATAAATTTCATATCCACTCGAAGATCAGATCAGATACATCTTTAAATATATAATCACTGCATCCAGAAATACCAAGTGATATAAAAAGATGTGAAGAGACTGTAAATTTTAATATCAAGTTGCTGCTAATAGCATGCCCATTTGTTTCACAGCATATCTAGGCACTTTTCCGTCTGGAAATGGCGGATGTGACTCACAAATGTCACTGTCTTATCCAGTGTACATTGTGTTGGGTTTTGCTGAAAACTTACTTGTTTTCCTAATGACAGAACAACTATAAAACGTGAAATTATATAATCAGGTGCTAATTGCATAGCTCAGTAAAAATCATATAATTAGATAATTAATATGCATTATGTAATTGGCTCTTTGACAGACATTTAATTGGGTTTGTGTTTTAAAAATGTAAATAGATAGTTACTGAATATTCTAGCAAAGACTAGTTTTGACAGGGTTTCAGTAACATTTCAAAAACTGCGATTCGGACGAAGATCTAAAGGTTGTTTAGAACTGAACATCAGCAGGCAATTTCCTCCTATTAAATAGTAAAATTAATGTTATGTATTTATTATAACATTAGAACAATATAATTATTATCAACAGCTATTAATAATATACAACTTATTATAAATATTTTATGTATTTTGCTATTTTTAGCTTATCAGCAAAATACTAATTTAAATGCGTACTAAAATTTCCATGTGGGATTTCTTGACTGAGCAAGTAGTTCTACTTACGTATCTTGGGGCAGCCATTGTGCAAATATATTGCAAGTACATATCTTGCTGAAAGCATGAAAGTACCATGGTGATTAGCACTGCCTGGAAGAACAAGACCAGTATTTTACCTTGTTCTGTCTAGATCAGTGTTTTCTTTCCCTGAGCCGTATATGAAAAATTTGAGGAGATGGGACAGGAACTGCAGTACTAGTGGGAACAGAAGTGGTCCTCGTCCTAGCTAGTACACTTGCAATTTGTACTTCAAATTGTGTCTTTTTACTTAAGCTTTGTAGTGCCTCAGAGGTGGATTGTTTGCAGAGCTTTGGCGTTCTGATTTGCAGCATAAATGATTTTTCGATGTAATTCATTCTTCCCAAGGAGTAAGGTCAAGATCGGTCACTAATACTGAGCAGGTCATTTGTCTGACTGTTGCATTAATGAAAGGATGGCGAAACCATTTTTAACAGCAAAACCATCTCCCCTGCTTATAATCACATATTTTACATGTTATTTTTGTCCGTGGTGGAATTCCTAAATGAGAATTGGATGCTCAAGTACGTAGTGGCAAAAGGACAGGTTGTACGTGTACCTGTACTGGGAGCAGGTAGGTGAATTTTCATAAGCAGGTGTACACATCAACAAACCGTTGCACTCAGCTTGCTCTCCGTTGTTGTCTCTGGCTGGCTGACATTGCTAACGTGCATGTTCAGCAGCAACAGTTCTCTGACCAAATGGCTATACCTACCTTTTCTCTCATAGATTAAAAATATTTCCGTTGATCTCTGTATGTTTAGGTGTCTCAGATTCAGATCACGTGCCGAGACACTTGGACTACGTAGATACGCCACAGGATTGGCGCTCAGTGTACTTTGACTGTGGTCTTTTGCTCGTGCCCAACATGCCAGCTGCAAATGAAGATGCCTGTTCCGTGGCTGCCCTTGCTGGAGGTGCTCAGCTGCAGATCCTGGATTTGTGTGTCAGGATTGCAGAGCTGCTGGGGGTAGTACTGTGGCCTGGTTTGAGAAGCAGCTTCAGTAGGGAGATGGCTAGAGATGCAATGGTGAGGTGGAGGTCCAGCTGTGACTCGGGGGTGAATTCTGGCTCTGTTGGAGGAGATTGCAAAATGGTCCTTCAGAGAAGTCAAGATTTTGCTTAAGCTTCATATTTTTCACACTTTTTATCTGTCTGAGTGGTGTGGGAAAATTTGTCTCGTGGGAAATCAAGTTTGCCATCTTTCCTGTCTCTCACAACATGTAAAACACTGTATCCAGTATATAAATCACTGTACATGAGAATATACATTCTGACACTTTTGACCAAATTTAGATTATGTGGAGATTACTGAAAGTCACAAAAGACTTCAGGCCAAATTAGAAAATAAACATCACTAGGACAACATTGAATATGATGCAGGAAGCTGAGGATTTAAACTTAATAAGCCAAAAATTAATTTGAAATGTTAGCGTGCTTGTAGAGATGTTTTGGTATTTAACAACCTACATGAAGATTAATTTTGATGGTAGATGTCATGCAGATCAAAAAGAGAAATCTGAGATTATCAAATTATTTTGTTTTAAAAATGGTTATTTTAGTTATTATTTATTTTTAGATTTGTTCTAGCGTGTGACAATAATTTAAAAAATATTTTAATGAAATTTTGATTTTGTACAGATCAGGTTAATATATGAAAAACTTGATGTGATTGATCACCAATCTCCATATATTATTTAGTAAAAATGCTCCAGATACTGAAGTAGGCTTCTATTCTCGGCGACTGCTCATTTTTTATTGAAATAACACGTTAGTGGACCTGTCTGCTTCTGACATTGTTTGCCTGAAAGTTAATAGGACCTAGCAATTTAGAGCACTGATAGAACGTAAATCTTACTAACCTGGTGGCCTTGGTTCAGCCTTGCCCTCACGTAGAAGCAAGTCAGCTACTAATTCTGCTTGGCCAGACAGGAACATCGACCAAGGTCCCTCCTCCCTTTGGCTGCCAGGACGCTGCAGTATTGCGAATAATTTGTTAGCCCGTCAGTACAGATCTCCTGCTCCAAGCTTGCTTGCCTCTGCTTCCCTTGGGTGCCCCGTTTATCCTGAAGTTCACTCTGACCTACCTTGATGTTCCTCGAGGCAGTTTGTTAGGCTTAGAGGGGTAGGATATAAGCTGTGGAAGTAAAGAGTTGGAAAGAGATTCGGGTTAGTCTGTGCCTGTAATGTCGGATGTGGTTGTACAGCTGTGGGTCTCTACAAAGAGGCCTTCTAGAAGGAATCATTTTGGCTTTACAAGCTCAGAATTCTTGAATTTGTTGCCTACTAGGTATTATATGTTCTAGCTTGTTCCATTTGTCATTTCCAAGGCACATTTTTCTGTAGTGCCTCTCATCTAGTTTTGTCTCCTTTTCCCCATGTCTCTCAATATTCAAGTGAGATTAAGATCTCACGTTTCTCCCAAGCTGTACTTGCACTCTTGCCTTGGCAATCGTCTGGTTTGGTCTCTTCACATGAGTCTCTCGTTGGCTCCCAAGTGTTCCCGTGTGCCAAGGGTTAGGGTGGGGAGGTGGTTCACCATGAAGATTCATGAATAACTCTGCAGGATGTTTTCACACAATTTCTGTTAAAGTTTGCATAAGAAAAATAATTAAAGCAAACACTATAATGTTGGCTCAATTACGACGTTTTTTGTTGATCATAAGCTTTGGATTTTGAAGTTTGACTTTGTTCTGAGCTTCACTGACAAGAAATCTTTTCAATGTTTGTGAGCACTAGTATTTCAAAATATTTTACCTTGTGAAATTCTGATAAATGAAATTAGCATAAACCAACTTGCTCTTATTGGTGGAAGCTGCAAAATTGCACCACTAGAAGACAGAAACATTCCATTTTTAACAGACAGTTGTGCTAATACTGAGTTTGCTTTTCTTTTTTTAATGCTTGTTGCTAATTTAGAAATATAGGTCAAATTCTTCCCTCCAATAACCACAGCTTCACAT